ACGCGTGGTGGCCACATGTTCCGAGGCCACATTGTGCGCGTGGTGCCACCAATGCGCGATCTCCAATCCCCCAGACAACGGTGGGAGCCCGAACTGCTCGATGACACCCACCTCAAAGAAGCTGCGGCAGTCGTTGCACCAAAAATTCTGAGCCAAGAGAGTTGCCAATGCCTGTGATGCCAAAGCCTTGTCCTGCGTGATTTGTAAATCAATCCTCAGCTCTCCAAAAGCCAGTGACAAATAAAAAGTCTAACAGTTTGCGTAGTAGCAATGCTAACAAGCGTCAAAAAGTCAAAAGTGGCACTTTGAACAGGTGAGAATCAGATTGAAAGTGAAGAAATGGACCAAACTCCACACCTTGTTGGGCTGCGCGGACAAAATTGAAGCCTCCGCCAACAACTCGGCCACCTTGGAAGTTTTGTCTTTCGCCAGTTTGACACATGCCTTCGAGGCTTCTCGATAACTCATGTGCTTCTCCTTCACCAAGTACTCGAAAGGATCTGGCAGCATTTCTGAGAGCTCCTCTAGACTGGGTGGTCCTTGCTTAAGCACCAGGTGCGGCCAGAGCTCTACTGCAATCTGGTATACCTGTGCGCGCACTCGCAGCACGGATTTGCCCAACTCAGTGGTGCGGTCCCAATAAGCACAGGTTCCCATGGAGGCAATCTCCCCAGGATAGAGAAGTGCCGCTGAAACCAGGGCTTGCAAGGTGAGATCGAGGCTCAATCCAGGTGCCTTCATCTGATCACGAGGACAGTCACTCGAATCCCACCATGGACCATAGAAGCAAACATCCTTTGGCCGCTTCTGCACGCAGGTACTGGGCAACACATTGAAGTTGGGCGCTGTGCAGGTGAGGTCGGGTGCACAGGCGAGAGGCCGCTCCATGGGAAAGCCCTTCTCATCCAACTTGTACCGTGGTTCCAATGGACCTTTGAAAGCTGGCGCCAGGTCTTGTTGTTGAAAGCAGCTCTGCTGCTCCTTGCGGTATGGCACGCACTGACCGCGGATGGGGCGCCAAGCATTGAAGTTCACTTGAGCGCTGCTGGGGCATTGGATTTCCAATGAGCGGTTCAGCTCTTTGATTCTCCAAATGTCGTTTTCTTTGGTGAGATTTGCCAGCTTTTCCTGGTATACCGGCAGGTACTTGGCACAATAGTCCGTTGCAGGAGTGTGTCCGTAAATACCATTGGGCAGTGGTGCCATGGCCCAAGCACCCCACTTCTCATGTTGCCTCACCCAGCACCACTCATGCTTTTGGCAAATGCCTGGAGACATGTAGCAATCCGCAATCACCGGAATGGGGCAATAGACATCATCACAATTCATCTCAATAATGTCACCCTTCCTTGCTCGCTTCATAGTTCCATCATGCGCCAAGTATTGCATGTCGGCACTGGCAACACTACATCGCCCTGGCCCTGCAAAATACATCTTCTGCCCCGGGATTTTCGGCCCGCAAACATCTCCATCTCCATATCTACCATGTCTACTATCATGTCTACCGTATTTAGCCCCGCGCTGGTAGTGTTCATAAATCAGATCCCTCACTGCGCCTTCCAGCTGAGCTTTGTACTCTTCAGGACTGGAAGACTTTTCTCCGTGTTGAAGCTGAACCAGACAGGATTCCTCACCAAACACTGCAGTCGCAAGGCCGGTCAGAAAGGCAATGAAGATGGCCATGGTGTTCCAAGAGATCTTGAAGTCCGCAGTTGGATTGCCAAGTGGCTTCAGCCAAAACGGCCACGGAAGAATCCAGCCGAAGACTTTGAACAATGGCCTGTGTGTGCATGTCCATTGTCCATGAAGTGGACCAGTCAGCTTGCGGATGTCGTGAAATAACAAGTCTTCAATTCAGCTCTCTTAGAAACAGGTCAACGCTGCCTCATAGCTTTCCTCCTCGGCGGCTTGACCTGCAAAGCGGCAGACACAAAACAAAACTTGCCCACCAACTGAGAAAACGCAGGTCCACGCTTGCCACTTCAAGGCCTGACTTGTTCACCGTTGAGATAGGCGTGCCATAGAAACTAACTACAGGGACGTCTACCGGATGTTAGCCCCACCTTTGTTCTGGAAAGGTGCGAATGGGTGTCCCGCTTGAAAGAGAATCCCTGCAGCTGGGTTGCTGAAGCGTGCCACCGAAAGCCAAAGACCCGCGCCCCACCCCCGACCCCCCCACCCCCCCCCCCGAACCTGCAGCCGCTGGCGCCTGGCAACCCCAAAGCGGAAGCAGGCAGGAAACACATGATTGGGATGCATGCTTATACATATTATATCTTTATACATCTATCTACATATACACATATATGTATAGCCTATGTGTATATATTTGGGTGTGAATGTAACTTGAGTGAACCGTTGGTGGACATCGGTTAGGTGGGGAGTCATGTCCACCAGCCACTTTTGAGGTGGTTCCATTTCAAGTTGTTCCATGTGTATATATATATATATATGTATCTGTATGTGTATATATATATATATACATGTGTATATATATATATATATATATGTGTATATATATATATATATATATATGCGATGTGTAATCCTCTTCCCCCTAGTACTGACCCCCAAATATGAACAAATGCTTCAGCGCGAAGCGTTCTTTATTGTGGAGCAGACTATCACTTGCGGGAAAGGACTAGATGTACACCTATGATTATATATATACATATATATATATATGTATTTATTATATATTTATATATGTGTAAGGTGTGTGTGCGCAAATGACTGGGGCTACAGCATTAAGTTCTGGCAGTGTACTCACAAACAGGGGGACAAAAGCGCCGGCCACATGTCACAGATATGAATTTGGAATTGAACCATGAGCCCCTACCCAAACTAACAAGAAACTACCAGCAACAGTCTCAGTGACTCATAATATAATGAAAGGCCCTTCTTGCAATGCTGGATGTGGATCTCACCCAATGTCCACATGCCAAAGCTGATGCGCCACACCCAAGTCACGAACCAATCTGGCATAGATCATGCCCGTCGGAAACGCTGCACCAACTCAGAATTGTTTGTACATGGGCCCTGCTCTTGGTGAGATCTGAGGCGCATGATTCAGCCGGCCTTCGCGGATCCTGCACGAACAGTCTTGGAGGCGCATGACTTAGGCAACTCACAGATTGGGTCTCTCACAGTGAGCAGTTGGCTGCTAAACCTTGGCAAAATCACCTTCTGATGGTGCGGGTAACGCTTCTCGTGTGTAAAACCAATAAAATCCACTGATGTTCGGAGGATCGTAGTGTGGGTGTGCCATCTGGAGGATACCCCCTTCTGGGTGGTCTGAGGTAAAACTCAAAGGGAAGTGACCAGTCACTATTTTAGGGGGTCCTCTGCTCAGAGACAAAACCCACATCTCTTGCCTGGCAGAAGTAGAATCCATGAAGGACTGCTTGTGCGCAACTCCTCTTTACCCAGTGCCCCTCCTCCATCGCTCTTTGCCTCTTTGGAGTCGGGCTCCTGCACAAGCGGGCTGTCACTTACCACCCCGATCGGGTGGAGCCTTCATCCACTGGTGGAAAGCGTGTTGCGTGCCCGGGTAGTTTCTGAGCCTGACTGCGTCCCGCACCAGAAAACGCTTGCGCGCCTTGCCTGTTCGATTTTGGCAGTCTTCACTTCGGGCCCGTCTGGAAGGAACCACCACCATCACCGCTCAACCGCTCAAGCGTCGCCATCCCCCCAGCCTTCGGAGCGGTGTAAGTCCTGGCGCTGAGGCTGGAAGCTGGAGAGGTCCAACCACCCACCACAAGCGACCGGTGGGTCGTGTGGATTGCTCATAGCCATGGAAGGTCCTGGGGTCTTCCGCAACGCTGCCAGCCTGCTGCGTCCGCGCATCCTGTATTTGCCTAGGAGCAATGCCAAGGATCAGCCATGCGAAATGTCTCAAAATAGTGGACCCCCAAAATGGGACATTGCTGCGGTTCCCCTGTAAAACACCCAGAGTATGAGGAATGATTCAGAGATAGGAAAGGTGAATGACAGGTGTGAGGGAAGAAGAAAACCCGGAACAATGAGATTCTTCTTTGTCCCATTTCTATTTCTCTTTTGTCACCTATCAATTGCTTCCCCATGAGTTACACTGTTGGACCTAGAAAGAAGGAGTTGGGACAAAGGGATGAGAAAGATGGTGATAGATAAATAAGTGATGGCTAATGGACGAATGCAAGGACTTCCCCATCCACTTCCAAGCCCATCAATCATCAACAGTGGATAGGGTGGGGAAGGGGGATGAAAGCAAGGGAGACGAGCATGCGGGAGAGAGAGAGAGAGAGAGAAGCGAGGGAGATACCGCAATCGCGTATCTCCTCTCTCTTTTCCCGTCCCTTCGCAGCATTTAGTATTTGAACGGGGAAGGAATGCCAAATAAATAATCAATATGAAATTAACAAATAGTGGATAACTGGCGTAGGCAAGCCTAGCGTTTTCCACTCCCACACCTTCTCAAAGCCTGTTCAGTCGTTTGTCGCATTCGCAGTTTCTGGCTAGAAATGTTCCCCACCCATGGTTTTTGGGTCTTTATTTTGGATCCCCACCCATCTATGATTCCTCCCCCCGTGCCCTCCCCCTGCCCCACCGTCTCCTTGGGGCCCCGGCCGGTCGGCCTTGGCCCGGCGCTTGGGCTCGGCGCCCCGCACCGCGCGGGCCTTGCCCTTGGGCGCCGCGGCCGCCTTCGCCGCGGCGGCCCGGGAGACCTGGCGCTGGAGGGGTCCAAATGGCTCTCCACATGCAAAAGAAATTCGGAGAGGTGGCAAATGGAATGGGTAACAATGCGTGGGACAGAAACAAGTGAGAAAAAGCAACTGACATGATATTAGCTTCTCTCCAAATGGTTTGGATTGGTGGTTTGGTTAAGGAAGGGGTTCCCATCGCCGTCTACAAAAGCCAGGTTTTATCCCCAAGCCACCAATCCAAACCACCAACTAAGGATTTCCTGACAATAGGTGGACATGGCTAAAAATCCGTGGAAAAAATGAGCGAGCAATTGGTGAAATGGGTTTGGTGAAGAGAATGGGGAGTCAACTCTCAGAAATACAGGAACCTTGAAAAAGACGGGTGCTTCCCTGTAAGCTCACCCCGTGCCGTCGAAATTACGAATCAATTAAATGCCCTGCCTTGAATTAGTCCTTTCCCACATGAAGGTTTCCTTGCGGTAATGTCGGGGCTGCTTTGTTCGAGGGCCCCCTTCAGTCACCTATTGTGGCTTGCCTGGTCAACATGTCGACCCGATTTTGTTCAACTTTGCAGATTAATTTCTCGGAAGCCTTTTCAAGCGGACCCTCCAAAACTCAAAAGAACCAGGGCTGGATCAACTTTGGGTTACCATGGCTACCCTATGCACCTTCTCGGTCGGTCCCCGCCTTTGGCTCCGCCTTGGGCTCCGCCTTGGGCTCCGCCTTGGGCTCCGCCTTTGGCCCCGGCTCCGCCTTGGGTGCTGACTTGGGCGCTGCCTTTGGCGCTGCTCCTTTCGGAAGAGGCTCCTCCTCCTCGTCCGTGTACTCGTCCTGTCATCCGGAAAAAATGCAGGTGAACAAACCGAAAAATCAGACATCGGAAACTCTAACTGTTTTCCCATGATTCCTTTCCTGCAATTGTGAGCGGAAGCCCCCTCTTCAACTGTTTGCGTGACAGCGGCAAAACAAGTCCTTTTGGGACTCGTTTTCGAGGGAACCGGCCGACGGCGTCCGAACTTTGACACACATCCAACCAACTCAATATAGCATTCAATATAGCACCCCAGTTGCCCCAGAAACAACCCTGGTTGGAGCCTTCCTAAGTAAGGTCGTCTCAACATAAGAGAGCCGCCCGAAGCTTGCTTTGGTACACTTCCCCTTTCCACAAACCTTAAAGGCCAGCAAGACAACCCTATATATGCAACCAGGAAACACTGACACACCTAGCCCTGAAGCACCCACCAGAACACGCATACATCTTAAGCACCCACAAAAAAAAGTACCCACCCACACAAATCAAAATGATGCAACATAACATGTTCAGTGCCAAAAGGATGTAACAAAAAACATCAACACCAAGCAAAACACCTCTACACAAAAAAAAGGATGTAACATACAAATTCAGCACCTACCAAAACACACATCCCCCCCCAAACAAAAAGCCCTGCAGCAATGTGAGAAAACAACAGATTGAGACATACAGCTGAAAACTGGTTGCCCAACACTCAAGGACGCACAAGCGAGCAGAACCCACCGTAACAGCAACTTGTTTGTGAATCCGAGTGATTTCTTTGCAGTCTTTCTTGGCGACTATCATTGCAGCCCGTGCCTCACTCCCAGACTCTGCCAGCTTCTCTGGGGCACCTCACGCAAGCGGCCCTTTGAGTTCAGAAAGCAATGGTGGCAAGCCCGGCGACGGAGGGGTGGGGCACATGTGCAACGCTCACCAAGTGCATTGGCAAGCGCTGAAGTAGCATGACAAAAGGGATCCCTCACCAAGACCGCCTAACTATCACATGATTGGTCGCGGCTCTGGAGGCCCTTTTGACAGCCATTGGGAAATCAAGGCCAAGTCGTTGATCCGGGGCCCCAACGAGGAGGTGGCAGCTCGGGCACCTGGAGACAGGAAGCCTTCGCTGTTTGAACGCCAGCCATTGATCTTCGCAAGGCCTCTCCACCGGACGGATGCAAACAATAAAACTGGGACACGCCTCAGTCTGCTGTCCGGAAAGAAACAGCCGTTTGCTCTGGTATCCAGTCTTTGACTATATCCGCCGGGGGCTCTGTTACAGGTACTCCAGATTAAAATCACCACCAGGCGCACTTTGATTGAACCGTGAACAAATCCACCGACGCTAGTCGAGCGTGTAGATGGCAACGAAGGCTCTTGGGGAGAGCAATTTTTGGGCCATACTTGCCGGGTGCTGTTTTGAGCGATGTTGGATTTGGCTTGCTTGGGGTCTTGGCGGGGAATCTAAAAAACTGCTCAAATTGAAACAAATGTGTTTGGTATTTTAAACAAATGTGTTTGCTTGCGAAATCCCCACCTACGCAGGGCTGGCGCTGCGAACATCCCCAGCATTATTGTGCTTTTAGAAGGTGATTTTAAGGGGGCTGCCATCCTTTTGATTGTGGAAAACATCGAGAAACACTGGTTGTTGGCATGCTGCACCGCCGGCATTGCCTGAATTGTCAGCATTCCCCACACCGCCATCCCTAGTCCTTGGCCAATGTTTTGCGTCCGGGGCGTCGGCGGACCGCGTAGCGATTTCAAATCAAGACAAGTGTTCATTCATGCCAGGACATGAAACTATTGCAAGCAAAACTCAAGCACACAACTGTGAGAAACTTCCACGTGTGTTTCCAATCATGCGTGATGGACACAGCCGCACATCAAAGAGATGTCAAACCTAGTGTGAGTTAACCGGTGACACATCGCAGATGCGCCACATGACGTTTCGCGGGACACGCCGTCGCAATCCGTCGCAAATGCATTTGGGATCCCCAGGTAAGACGTGCTTCTTAGCGTCGTACATCTTCTGCCGCTTGTTCAGCGCTAATATGGGCGGCAAATACGAAGCCACCGAAGTTCCCCGAAGGATAGAACGTAGAACATGGCCATCGAGCACACAGAGGTCCGTGTTGCGAGACACCACATTCCGCTGAACATTTTCGGGCTGAAGATGCGCATCCGCGCCGCGCTGTCCTGGAAGCGCACTACGTAAACCGTGGACGTGTGTGAAACGCTAGGCGCTGAAGAGGCGACTGATGTGACGTTTTCGAACATTGCAATACGCAGCCACATGCCCCTCAAACGAATCTATGTGCTTCACAAGCCATGGCCCGAATCCCGCCGCCTTTAGAGGCGCGGATGGCTTAGTGGCCTGCCGCGCACACCGTCTGCTGCAGAAAGCGTGCCATGGTCAAAACCCTTGGTCTACCTCTGCTTTTGCCCACCCCAAAGTGTGCCACTGTCAAAACCCTTGGTCTACCTCAGCTTTGACCCCCAACAAGTAATTGTGTGATTCTGGTCCATACTTGGTGAACCTTGAAATGCCGCAGCCACTTTTTGAGAGATCCCGGCACGGTTCCCAGGATTTGCACCGGGCTCCCTTCTCTCGCATCGCCTGTGGCTCCTTGGGCTCCACCACCTGCCACTTCCGGTGAGTCAGGCGACGATGCATCTGGCTGTGGCTCAAAAAACCGGTACCAAACTGGAACCCTGGTAAGAACCATGGACCAAAACCTGCGGTTTGCCCCACCTGTTTAATATTGAGCCACACCCATCTGGGTCCAACGCCTCAGTTCTGAGAACTACGGTCACTTGGACGGCTTGGAACGTGAAAAGCCTCGTCATCCTCCTCGAGCTCTTCCTCTTCCTCCTCCTCCTGGCTGTCACTGGACACCTGAGCATGCGCCAGCGGCGGAAGAGACTACCAATCCGCAGCCGACGGGTCAGTGATACACCCTCCAAGATAAGGCTACCAAGCGACACCGGGGTTAAGCAACGCATCATAAATCAGTAGCCAACAAAATGAAAGAGTGACATGGGTTGCACGAACACAACAAGCAGCTGGTGGCAAACATAAAATCTTGTCTGGGTTGGGTTTCTGAACTCCCGACCCCCAGCAATGGTGGTGAACCTTATGCCGACTCGGCATGTAAACAAACCAGCACGGCGATGCTTTCTGGAACAGATCGCCCAAACGTTGTAATTGAGAGCCTCCCAGCAACTGGGCATCTACGTGCAAGCTCCGCTTGCGTTTCGAGGTCATGTGCACATACTTCCTACATGGTTTGGTGAGCAACAGTGTCCCCAGTGTTGTCTCCGATAGACAGCGAATGGTCGTAAACCAACTGCGGCATGTCAGCCACATCGCACGCGCGATTTCCGTTTTGCTGTTGTATGAAACATCTCACCGGAGACAGTTGACAAACTCACTGGGCGTCTCGACCATGCTGGCGTCCTCCTTTCGCTCGGTCGGCGCCTCAGCTTCATTGGAACTCGTGCAAAAAGCGAGAACTGCCAAAGTGGCTTGCATCATAAATGTGCTTGTGTATATGAGCCCTCATATATATATATATATATTATATATATATATATGTATACACATGAATGTGTATATGTATATATATATATGCATGGACGCATGTGCACAAACACATATACAGATTGTGTGCACCGTCAGCCGTGCAGCTTGCCTCGCCCATCCGCTCCTCAGCTCCGGGCCGGCGCCTCATCGCGCTCTTTGGCAAGCCCCGCCTCGCGACCCGCAAGAGGGGCCGCAGCGCGCTCGCGCCCCGAATTTGTTCAAACACAGAGACAGCGGCGCCACGGACTTGACTTTGGGTGGGTATGTTACATTAACTTTTGGTTGTATGACGTTGTATGGGTAGGTTGTACGGGTTTATTTTTCGGCCATATCACAACCCCGAAACCAGGTAGCCGGTAGCACCTACTAAAATGACCAGGTGCCGGGCCAACTGCCGCTGGAGGTCCACGCAGCCTTGGAAAGGACGAATTGGGGATCAAACCCAAAGCAAAGAAGCTGAAGGGGGTTCCTGTATCTTTTCAGCCATCGCTCTTTTCAAAATCCAGCCGTTTTCCCTGGGTGTCTGAAGGTTTTCTAGAAAGAAGGATCCCTGGCAAGAATCTGTTGCCGTGACGAGCGGGAGCTACCGAACCTTTTCCCGAAGCTTGGGCTCCGCGCGGCCAGCGATCTCCTGCGCCTGAGCAACATGGGCGGGAAAGCTTTGTTTGGCAAAAAGGACAGGAAGGACGCCTTTGTCGATTGGGGCTAGTTGATCCAAAGGAGCCAGAAAGATTGGTCGGAAAACCCGGAAACCCGCCAAATGAGTGGTGTTTCGTGTTGGTCTCCTTTTAACCCCAACCGAACGAAAGCACTCTCAAGAAGAGGAACCACGCCCAGCCATTGCCATGTTTGCCGTGGCCGGTGTGGCTCACAGGGCCCGACACAGGGGGGTCCTCATATGTCCCCCTTGAAACATTCGCCTACTGTTGACCCCATATTCATTAATATTCGGAGGGGTCCCCTCAAAAAGTGATGCTTGTCCACTAAACCCACGGGCATCCTATCAATAAAACTGAGGTTGGTCACCATTCGACCCAACCGGTGATGCTTTAACCGCCCAATGGGCATATGAGCTCCCGACCTTGCGCTTGAGATCCTCCAGAGCCTTCTGCGTCTCAACCTCCTCACGTTGAGCCTGGCGCACCAAAGTGACCCCCCAGAGCCGTGTGACTTGTGCAGGTCCAAATATGCTATGCCTTCCTGCACCTTCCTCAGATTCCTGCTAGAAGCTTTTCTTGTATTGGGTTGGAAGCCCAACCACTAAACCAACCAAAAACCTAAAAACCTAAGAAACCGGGCAGCTGGGAACAACCAAGCTTCTGTTGGCCTTCTATCGACATGAGTCAGATAGAGTCCCCCCCGCTTTTGCTCCTGGACTTTTCGAAGTCCCCCATGACTCGGCCGAACTTATTCTTGGCCGCAGGGCCGCAACAAGGCAAAGCCCGCGTCATGGCCTCTACTGGATGTCCCGCCTTCAAACATCTTCCCACAAATCGCACAACGTGAACAATATCGGCCAAACTGCAAAGCCGCAGTTTCAAAGGCATCCAAATGCATGAGCCTGTCCCACCAGAACCAACAACAAATCATGTGTTAATTCAGAACCTGAACGGTGATCTCGAAGCCTCCGGAAGGGTCTGATGTCCGTCTTGCATGGGCGCAAAATGGCGGCCTTCTGTAGGTTGTATTGGGAGGGACACCAGATGGCGAGCAAGTTGCCTGTGAGAATTCTCCGAATGAACCAAGCAAAGCCTGCCTGATGTTCAGCAAGCAAACGTCGCAGTTTCTGTAGCCACGGAAAAACAACTCCTGGAAACATGCTGGTTCCCCTCCCCCTTTGCTGAAAGCTAGCGTCCCCGATTCAAAGCAGCAAGGAGAAAACCTGCATTTACTGTAATCGCAACACTGGCTGGCAAGCAATCCGGCAAAACGGAAACTGCCAACACCATAGCGCCTGGCATCTCCAAAAAGCCATGTCCAGTACTCGCAAAGTTAACATGGAACCTCCTTGAAAGGTGCGATTCCTCGACATGAGGATTTTGGGAACGTGTCAAACCTAGGAACCCGTCCAACCAATCTAATTTTGGCTGCAATCTGGTATCCTATGAGACACACCCCAAACAAGTGCTACTCGCTTTGATACATGCAATGTTTTGTTCTTCTCTTCTTTCAGAAGAATCAGGTTAACTTCCGTTGAAGTGCAGAACCCCCTTTCCCAGGAATCCATTTCTCACTTGCTCAAAGGTTCCCTTTGTGGATAGGAGAATGACCACAAAAACGCCAACGTTCCTGCAAATGTCCATGCTCTTTTTCGCAGTCCTTCTCATTTCCCAAGACGAGAATGTCGGGGTCCGAACCCATGTCGACTTTGGATTCACCGAGGATGCCACCCCCAAATACAGATCGCCTGCGCCAGCTGCGCTGCCAGCTCCTCCTCCTGCCGCTTCCGGGCGCTCTCCTGGGGCAGCTCCGTGTGTCACCCGACTTGTTGCCAGGCTTTTTTTTGCCACGGCTTCGGACTGCCTGTTTCCGAGCTTTTAAAAGGCCTGAGGTCGGACAGGGTTCCCCTAGTTTTCCCCCTTAACACGTCACCCCTACCAAGGAAGCTCACCGTAAATGGGCCACAATAGGTGATGCTCAAAACCACGAAATGGGGAAATATAGGGAGCCCTGTTGAATGAAGCTTTTGAATGGCTGGTTGAAGCTCGATTCATGCTTTCGAAGGCTTCCTGGTTTGGTTGGATGAAGGCTGCAAGTGAGGGGAGTTTGATTCCAAAGGCAACCCTTTGGGATAAATAGAAATAGAATCAGATCACAAAACACTCCTGCAATGGGGGGCATTTTTTAATGAGTGATCCTCTGTACACTTCGCATGAACTAGTGACATGCACGTGGAAATCCGTGGCAAAGGTTCGGGCAAATGGGCGCCGTCATCCCTTTCTGAAAGCCCAACGACACCTCAATTCAAGTCATTTGCGTTGCGCCGTCAGCACTCCTTCGGGTTGGAGATGGTTTTTTCGGGATCCTGCTCTTTTTCCCAAAGCCATCTGATGCCCATAGGTGGGGCCTGTGTATACGTGGCCAAGGTCAATGGCCTTCAACCCAAGGCATCTGGCATTCACGCACTATGCATCTTGGCACTGCCTGAGTAGATCCACTAGATCTATCCACATGCCCACGTTGCGGAACCAACCCCCTGGTTGACTAATAGAGGGGTGCCTCTTTTCAAACAGACTCCTCCACTGTTGAGCACTGGAAGAAATCAGAAATTCTTATGCGCGAACTTTCCGCAACCTGCACATCATCTACACGGGTCTTGTCCAGCAAACCATACGTTGCCTGGGGCTCCACGCCCTCTCCTTTTGGAGCTTCTGCTGCTCCTGAAGCTCGAAATGGCCATGGGCTTTTCAAAATCCAAAACGGGCCCCCAGTGAGCATCCGATTCAATCCAACCACTCAAATAGGAAGCCTAAAATGGGTGGTGCAGTGGTGCACCTACCCCAAACTGGTACCATTGGTTTTCACCCACAGCCAAATCACTTTTTTTCGACCTGGACAAATGCCCCGTGTTAGCTGGCGGCCTCTGTCCGGGATGCAAATCAGGACACAAATTGCAGGTTTGCGCAAATCAGAACATCTCCATGAACGGTCGAGTATATTATTGCTGGGGATGGTCAAGGCATCTACGATGAATGCCGCTGTGTCATGTTGCTAAAACAGGCTTGCTCTCATGCAAGGGCTGGCAAGGCATAGCAGCTGTATGATTTTGTAGTCCCCCATTACGGACCTCCAGAGCAAGAATCACAGGAACACCGCCATTGAAACCAAAGCTCCTCTACTTCGACGCGCTTCTGCTCGCGCTCCTGCATGTCGGGTGACCAAGTGTCGAGCATTGTCCGGCTATGCCTTCCAGTCATATTGAATTATGCCTTGGATCTTGATCTTGGTGCGGAGCGGATTGTATCAAACCCCTTGGCAAATGAGCAAAGCAGCATGCGTAACGTAGACTCCGTCCCAGACCTGGTGTCAAACGTGTTGTATCTTTAGTCAGTGACAAGGCCAACAACAAGTAATTACGGATGCTGTGAGAAGCATCCAACACCTACTGATGGTTGGATTCTACCAAGCTGGCCATTAGGGTTCCAAAACAGACCTCACTCACATCAAAATGGGTAGTAGAAGTTCCTGCTAACATGGCCAGCGGGCAATTCGGGCAGCGCTGCAGCCACCTACAGACCACCGAACGGTCCTTCGCTCGCTGCTGCTTCGCCTCCCAAGACCGACGCAGCTTACCAGCTGAACTGGTTGTAAACAGAGTGGTTCTATAGGCTTAAATGGCCCCAGCGAAAGCCAGGATTTATGAGGATCACATCTGAGTCATTTGAGTTCAAGACAAACCTTGTTTCAACATCTTGAGTTGCAGAGAATGGACAGCTGTGTAGTGATGTGGAACCCAAAGATTTAAAGCTCGCCGATTTCGCCCGTCCAAAAGCAGGACAAAAACGGCCCGCCTCGAGCTTTTCCCGAAGCTTCTGTCTTCTCGCCTAAACACACTCAAGCATGCCTTCACACATTTGGGGGGTTACCCTCCCGGAGACTGACACAGCTGCGAAACAAACCCTTCCAACGAGGGAACATAGTCCAGGTGGTAAACACATTTGCAAGGCCTCCTGAAGGTTACTTCAAAGATACTTGATGTATGTTTGGATGGCGTTCCGAACCTGCGCTGCCCTCCACAAGACATGAACAAACCGCAAAACCTTTGCTGGGCCTCTTCCTGCTTCTGCTTCACCTGCTTCATGGCTTCCTCCACCTTCCTTCTCTTTGCACGCTCCTTCGATTCGGAAAGCACGGAAAGCACGCGCGCCGGCAGCAGAAACGCCGCTTTGGTTGAGGCAGATCCAAGATTTCAGGTGAACTCCTCCCTCCGCTGCAACTTGGCCTGCACTCACTGATTTCGAATGCATGTGTTGCCAATTGACAAAGGCGCCATTCCGGATCATTGTTGTTCCTATGCCGATGGGGCTGCTTGCTTGCAGCGACATGGCACTCGCCAGCATCTATCCTCCTCTTCTCTTTCTCGCCTCAATGCAAAAGGCATGACATCAGATGGCAGCAGCGTGTCTAAAGCTATGGTATTGCACCCACCGGAGGCCGACTTGCTCCCACCAACCAAGCCAACAACTGGAGCAAGAACATGGAGATCAAATTGAACTCGAGCTGTCACTTAGTGCTGTTTTGAATATCCCAGCCTCTCTTCTTCCTCTGCCTCTTCCTGCTGTCGCCGTAGCTCCTCAATGTTCACGGTTGAACAAGCATTGGGCAGAATGCACGGCCCAAGTTTGGAGTGGCCTTCGAAACCAAATCTTTCGGACAGACACCTAGCCTCTGATCTGGCAAGATAAGAACAGGATACCCGCGCATTCGCTGAAAAGTGAGCCCACGCAAAAGGAAACCAACACAAGAACCGCCGGCTAGATTGGGGTGACAAGTTGCGGCAGCAAGCAACAAACATGCACAAAGCACTGCTGAATCATGCCAAAACCACCGCATTTTTTAGGGGTTCATGACGAATCATGTGTGGGGCTTCAGTCACTCGCACAAAGAAGCTCTGGAGGAGCATGGAGCATGTTGGTCAGCTCACTGCATTCCAGGCTCCTCTCTTCGCTTCACGCGAGCCTGGCACGGTTCGGTTGGGGTTGTCCCAAGGCTTCCGTAGATGCTTATCCTGGTCTCCTACTGGCCATGAGTTTACCCTCAAAATCACACCACCCCAAGTGGCAGAGTAACGGGAAGCACCCCGATTTCTGGCTTTGAGAAACCCCACCAACTCAACCGGAGGGGGGACCATGGCCAAACAGTGGACCTGATTTGTACTCAACCAAACACCTCTAGAGTGTCTCAAAAGTGGAGTCAAACCCCTTCTTCTTTAGCCGTGTCTGAATCAGAAACATCCATGCGGCCAGTGACCTTCTCACCAACATTCCGCCTCCTCACGCTTGGTCTTCTCAGCCTGCATCCTCTCCTCCTGCTTCCTGATGCATACGACTGCTGGGGCGATCCAGCTAGCAAATATGTTCAACGTGTCTGTTTATGTATACAACAAGATTGTTGGCAACTCCTCATGGGCCTATGTTTGCCAGCGTTTGGATCTTCCTGGACTTGGTCAACACAACCCGAAACATTGCTTTGCTCACTATTGACAGCAATGGTGTAGTCAGCAAAATGCCCGCACAATGTACGGGATGTCCTTGAAACTTGTACAAACATGGTCTAAATCACTGGTATTTGCAGCCAAATGGAGCACGTCCCGCCAGTCTGTCAGGCAGCGAATCTTCAGGCTAGCGAGGCAGCACATGCTCAACTTCGCAGCAAACGAGTGATTGAGAGGTCCATGGGGCTCACCATATGTGTGCAAGAGGGCGCGAGGTTAGGCTTGATTTCGGCTGGGTTTAGGGTCGGTTCGATTTTGGGCCTAGGTTTCGCTCGTGTGTTTCTTTCCGTCAAGACGTTTAGGTCAGGTTGGAATTTGGTCTGAGTCTTATCTTCAGACTCCAGGGGTTCCAAAACAGGGCTCCGTCCCTTCGATCCAAGGGTTTAAAACCACCTGAAAAAAACCTGTTTGACCCACTTTCTTGACCCATCCAACAACCATCCAAGGGTTTAAACCCATCCATCCCTTCAATCCAACGGAAAGAACCTTTGGACCCCCTCCGGGAAAAAAAAAAGGCGCCGAAAAACGAGCCGATCCATCCCTCTCCGCTTTCCGAGGGGCTGCTTGGCCAACGCGCTGAAGGAGATCTCCTTGTCGCCGCGCTCCCCGGGCCTCGCGGTCGCGGCTTCGGCGAGGGTTCTTTGGGCCCATGGTGAGGCCACGGCCTGAGGTTGGAGGCCGAGACAATTGGCGTCAAACCCGGAAAACAATGGATGAGACGACAAAAATTCAGCTTGCAAAAACAAAAACAAAAAACACACACACACAATGAAACAAGTGATAAGTTCAACGAGACAAGGATTAGATGACAATGGATACAACAAAGATGACGCAAAGACGTAGAAACACACACACGCACAAACACATACAAACAAACAAGCCTGAGATCCTACGTGGTGACGACATGGGAACACCTGAGGTCTGCCAAAGGAAAACACACCTGTTCCAAAGAAACGGCACCGCCCTTGGAAAGCGCAGAATTGAGTGAAGCCATTCGCGGCTCGCCTGGAGGCTGCCTTGGAGTTCGCCTTCTTGGACGAAGGGGGGCTGGCCTGGCAGGCCAAGCCAGTCGGACCCAGGTTGGACCCTCCATTGGAATCAGGACCTCCACTGAAAAGGTCAGGATCTCACTCAGAAGTGTTTTTTGGACCTCATGTGCTTGAGGTGCAGGAGCAGCCATCCACAAAGCCAACCAGGCGTCTGGCCTTGTTCAGAACTCTGTTCAAACCAAAGAATAGTCGCAGGTGGTGTGAACTGGGTATCCTTAGCTCAAGATTGTCTTGAAACCAGCATACTGTTCGACGAGCATCAGAAGATGGAACAAGTCCTGTGCAATGGCCGGCGATGTTTGCTTTGCGATCCCCTTCTGTGGACGACAGCTTGGACGTGACGAGTGTTTCGTCAATTATGCATGTCCATGTTGAGAAATCCAGTACATCCAAAAACAACTATTGGCTTATCGTCTCTCGGGCGGGTTTCACACTCACTCCATCCGGAGTCTGCTTTCCAACCACAAGCTTCATCTGGTTCGTGCAATCCACAAGCGCCCCTAGGATTCGGTATTCGATCATATCCTTCGAGCGACACAGGGAGGTACGATTGAACAACCCAGGGACTCTAGACAAAGACATCTTTTTGTTGGTCTCCTTTAGGGGGAAGCACAACATATGGATCATCTGCTACCCAGGACAGAAAGCCTGGCAATCATTCAGCCCGCCAGGGCCTCAAAATCGGCGACGCCGAGGGCTCCTGGGCCCACTGGGGCTGCTTCGGGTGTGGGCATCTGGCTCGGGTTCGGGTTCTGAAATCGGGGTTGATCAATATTCCTGGCCCCTGAACGACCATGGGTAACTTTTCCCAAATAGTGGCTGAGGTTGTCCCCAATGGTCATCCCATGTAAAGGACCTTTTGATCAACCTCCACATGGGGAAAGAGTCAGGTTCAAAAAGAGCAGGTCTTGACCAGGCATGCAGCAGTGCATGTCTGTCTGGCTGCGGCACGGGCTGGCCCTGCCTATGCGAGCGTCCACAGGCTTCGGTGGGGCCTGGATTGACGACGAAATCCCTTGTTGCGTATGGTCCATCAGTGCGAAAGCCCAATTCACAATGATCAGTGCTGCAGACTGCTGTGAACCACACTGAAACACACGCGGTCTGCGACCTATGTATAGAAGAGTCTGCGACTTATTTTGCGAACAAATGTTGAAACCAATCTCCGGGACTTTGAGACATGGTGTCAAGACTAGGGCCCCTCCAAACAGCCCTTTCCCTTCTGGCTTCCCTTGCCCGATGCTGTATCCGGGTAGCCCCTTTTTTACAAGACTCAAGCGTGGCAAAACAAGCTGCGCTAGCAAGGGTTATGAGCCCAACGTGTTGATCGCTCTTTGGCCATGGATGCGGGGATGCGGAGGCGAAGGGCGAGGTCGGTGGATGCGGCGACCATGGAGGGGACCATGGTGGCGGAAGCCGATGGAGATCTACCTCTTCAAGAAGAAGAACGAGGTGGAGAACCACGGAGAGGTCAGCGGCAGGAGGTGGATGTAAACCCTTTCTGGAGTTCACGGGCGGTGGATGCAGCAAGACTGAAGGCAATGAGGCCGGAGGGTCTGCCCAAGGTCCCGGACACCGTGAGCCCCCAGAAGGTCGAGACAGGGATGGACGCTTGGGGAGGTGCCGGTGGCGCTCCTGAGGGAGATCTTCCTGGGCAAGAGTGTGATAGAGTTGGTGGCCACCCTGAAGCTGCTGGCAGTAGGACAAGAACAGAAGAGTTCTGGAGCGAGGTAAAGAGGGACCTGACAGCGGACCTGGAGAACGCAGGAAATGTCGGAATGGCCAACGGCGGCGAGTATGGTCTGCAGGAGGAAGGTCGACGTCCAGGTGATGGACATGAACGAAGCGGAGATGGAGCTCTACTACATGGGAATGGAAGAGAGCCACCGTATCATGGTGACCTGGGGCCGGATGAAGGACGAGGGCCACCGGAAAAAGGAATCGGAAGGCCTGGAATCATGCGAGGGAGACCAGTGGAACGGAAAGCTGAACTACGCGGTCCAGGTGGGACGGAAGGCGGAGTTGAGAGACAAGATCCACGAGCTCCTCGGCAAGGAGGAAAAGGGGATCCACTACCAGAATGGCGAGAACCACATGCTGGTGAAGATCAACCTGATGATCCTATGGAGGACCAAAGCCTCAGAGATCAGCGGCTGTGGGAAGCGGCATGCAAAAGGACGGGCAACAGAGGGGTGCTCCCTGGCAGAAGCTCGCAAGTGGCGTCGGGGGCGTCGAGGAATCTGACCCGGCTGGATTTGGACTGGCTTTGGAACGACGAGCACAAGGTGTGGGTTCCTGAAAGAGCTCAACGGGAGGATGACGACGAGCTGATCGGAGACATGGACCTTGCGGAGGAAATGGAGAAGAACTTCATGAAGGCGTGCAGGAAGATTCGAGGAATGGAACAGCAGAGGAAGTACCTCTTTGACGTGATCAAGAATCTGAGGGCGAAGGAGAGAAAGTGGCAGCTGGAGGCGGAGTTCTGGAAGACCAAGCATGATGAGAAAGAAGCGGAAAGGTTTGTGACGCCTGCCGAGAAGATGGAGGTGTTTGAAACTCCGATTGAACTTCATCATCTGATGGTCGCACCACCGCCACCACCTCCACAAGCTAGAGATCGACCGGTAGGTGTGCCTGGACCGGTGTCGAGGCCCAGATCAAGATCGCCAATCCAATGCAGAGAGCGGCAGACGCCTGGAGGTACAAGAGTGCCGGAAGGAAATCCACCTTGCGATGAACACCTTCGGCCCAATGAAGATGAGTGGCAACCTCGTTGGAAGGATGAGGACTATGATCATTGGTGGAGGGCAAGGTGGAATCCTGCTTCTACATGGCAGCCGTGGCAGGACTGGAGCAGCGGTTGGGAAAAGGAAGAACCGAAGGCAGCGGTGGAACAAATTGAATCAGGAGGAGCTGGTGGAAAGGTGGAGTTGCCGGAGCTGGTATATGACCATTCCCCGCTGACTCTTGGAGATTGGCTAGCGCAAGTGGGACCACAAATGAGTGATCTCTCTCAAGGAGCTGCTGAGTGGTGGGCCGGAACGATGGGACAGGCAAAGCAGATCTACGAGGTCTGGTTGAAGTCAACACCGCTGGAAAGGCTTCAGATCACCGTCGACGTGCCGGACCGGTTGAAGACTCCAAGGTTCGTCAGGACGGAGCAGAGAGGAGTGACGCTTCTCTTGAAGGCAGTGCCGGTGGAGATCAGGAAGGAGCTCATCGCGGCGAGAGAAATCACGTCAACTGGAGTGTTATACAGGCTCCTGGTCACCTACCAGCCTGGAGGACCGGGGGAGAGGGCCCTTATCCTGAGGAAGCTCACGGACCTGGGGGCCATGAAGGACTACACGGAGGCGGCAACAGCCTTGCGGGAGTGGCGAAGATATTATTTGAGGGCGCAGGAAATTGGGGCCACTCTTCCGGACCCGACCTTGCTCTCAGTGGCACTTGAACGAGTGGTTCAACTGGTGAACAGAGGAGGAACGCAGGCGTTCAGGGTGGCTCAGGCGAGGTCGCAGCTGGGTTTGGATACGGCACCAACACCCCTTGGTATCTGGAGCTATTCCGAGTTGTTGTTGGCGGAAATGGACACGGCCAAGTTGATGGTGACAGAAGGGGCGGTGCAGCCCAAGGTCAAGGCAATGCAGGGCAGAAGCGAGAGAGTTGGTCCAGGACCACCTCCGGAAGGACTAGCATCGGTCAAGAAGGAGGCGATTAACTGCAGGTACTTCATCTCCGACAGCGGGTGCAGAGCTGGCAAGAATTGCAAGTGGCCTCACGATTGGGAAGGGGTCACGGACAAGGCAACGAGATGCTGGAATTGCGGGGCAAAAACCCATAGGAAAGCGGACTGCACGGTGAAGGTAGGGAACCCGCATTTCGGGGGAAAGCCTACGCCAAAGCCGGCTGTGAAAGCCGCAAGGTGCGAGCTGGGGAACAGCTCGGGGGGAGGTGAAGGTGCGAGTGCTGCAGGCGCCGAAAAATCGCCTTGGAAAGGAGGTGACAGTAGCATGGCTGGACAAGAGGCTACCTCGTCTGCGGCGGGTACTACAGGTGGTGGACCTACGGCCGGTGGAACGGGCAGCGGAACGGGGGAGCTGCTAGCCGAGGCAACTAGTCTCCTTCGATCGTTGAGGTTGCCGTCGATGAACGCGGTGATCGTGATGAATCAAATGGGCAAAGAAAGTCGAGGCATGGGCCTTCTTGATGGAGGAGCAACGCATGCGCTCAGGCCGGGAAAGAGCCAGACGGAATGGAACCAGGCCGAGATCGTTGAAGTGCACTTGGCGGATGGTTCGAGTACAAGAATGCGGAGCAAGCCGGGAACGTTGACGCTGCTGGCAGAGAAGGGCACGCAGGTCATTGTACCCATGGGAGCGATGACAGAGGTTGGCTACATGGTGACGTGGTCCAACGGAGTTTGTGCGGTGACTTACAAGGGGCAGCCAGTGCAGGTCACGATGATTGCTGGATGTCCTATGGTGGAGGAAGATGTGGCCCTGGAGATGATAGATCAGATGGAGCACAAAAAGGCCGAGCTCAATTGGAAACTTGCGATGCTGAAGGGCCAGGTGGCGTCAACCGAGAGTTTGACCTATGAGGAAGCCATGCTGAAAGCGCTGAAGGAGTTCTTTGTGGACGTCCCGGATAGCTTGCTGGCGAGGCTGGTGGTCACGCAGGAGTACGATGTGACGAAGTTGCCGTGGAACAGGCGGAAAAGGAGGAAGATGGAGCGAGCAAGGAGAATCCACCTGCATCTCTTCTCGGGCACGGAAAAGAAGTGGGCAGACATGGAGGAGAGTGAAACGATCATGATCTGCTTGGACAAGGTGAACGACCCTGGGCAGGATTTGCTCAATGATGATGTTTACAGTTACCTCATAGCTTTGGCGAAGAGTGGAGCTGTGGTCAGTGTGATAGGGGGTCCGCCCTGTCGCACTGTGTCTGCCTGCAGATCAAGGTCGCCCGGCCCCAGGCCGGTGAGAAGCGAAGAGCATCCCTACGGGTTCGCGGATCTCACGCATTCTGAGAGAGAAATGGTGGAAGGGGACTCCGTGCTTTGGTTGAGGATGATGACGTTGTACATCGTGGCAGAGGAGACCGCGAGAAGACGGAAGCTCCCGGCGGTGGC